GGGTAAAAACGAAGTCTGGTCACTTTGAGCCCCCAACCTGTTTGTCTAAATGGTGTGAACGGCCAAAGCTTCTCTAGCCAGCTGTCATAATTTGTTAACGAGGCCTTTCAAAGAAGAGAATGATAATGAGAGGGCAGGAGAAAAAGGAGGAGGGCAGGAGAAATGTTGGGGGGGTTGGAGGTGGGTGACTGGAAAGCGAGAGAGCACGGTCCCTGGGGAGTCCTGGGGGGCGACATCAGACCGATTTCAGCGCAGCAACATGATGGCATCTCTGATATTTTAATATTAATGAGTAGGCTCTTCAGCTCAGCTCTCTCAACAGGTGCCATGGCGGCACACACTACATAATACCAAGCCACTGGCTCTCTTCTAAAGCCTCTCCAGTGTCTTCTATACACATGACCAGGCAAGTTAGAACCAGGAGGAGCACTGTGACTTAAAGAGAGAGAGAGGTACACAGAAAGAGAGAGAGAGTGAGCAAGAGAGAGAGTTAAGTCACCCATTTAAAAAACTAAGAAGAAGGCAAAAGAAAGAAAAGGGAGCCCTCTTTTTGAGTCACCTCTCCCTGAAGCCGAAACACGAGGGCCCGATATTTCTCCTCTTCTCCCAAACCCCCTTGAGAAAGAAATTGACTTTTGTTTGGAGTTTGTGAAAAGTGGGAATCAGGAGCAGGACAATGGGGCTCCCCGTGGAGAGGACCCGAGTGAAGCCATCTCAAATCAGTCAGCCAAGGGACCAATTAATCCGGCCATTGTCAGGCCCAAGCCACTGCCAGCACATCAACACATTCACGGCCCATTGTCCCGACCCTCCTGCAGTAGGATTTAGTCCGTCCAACAGCCAGTTTTGTCCGGGCCAGCTCAGGCGGAAGTTTCTCACTGACAATTTGCCCCAAATAGATTTGTCAGAAAGCGTCCATCGACCTGCCAGTTAGACTGGGCGAGGTGGGTTTGCAGGGGCTTGTTTGGGATGAGGTGACCATGCCGTGGGTAGACAGGCAACGTGCAGGTGTGCGTGTCTATAGATGTACGCATGTCGGCCACTTGTTTGGTCTGTGAACCCAAATCTAGGTCTTGGTGTTTGTGTGTGGGAGGGTGCTGAAAAACTAGAATGAATTACAATAAAATGACAATGATGATGATGCTAACTCACTGTACACTGAAATCCACTACTATTTGTGGTGTTTGTGACTGTACATTAAGAGGACAACCACATTCTTTAAATGGCAGCTTCCTTGGCTAATGAAAAAACTTAGGCCATAAAGGGAGTTTTTTCAAAAATACATAACCCAACCACTGAAATATAAACAAAGTCATTCTGTGTGGTTTGATTGCACACGGTAGAGAAATTGATCTATCTAAAACGACCGGTTTTTATGTGAAAAAGTACATTCTTTGGGTACTCTTTTGTGTGGTGATTTAAGAAAATGTATTTTATTTTAAAACTATTTTAAAGTGATAGACTTTTAGCCATTTCATCTATTAGCATTCTGTGAGGTAGCATTTTAGGCATTAAAGGCTTCAGATGTTTGGTTCCTATTACCACCACTGTAAACAATTCAGACTTTCTAACTTTTTGTCTAGAATGGAGCATTTTACATCAAACCACTCTGAATGACATTGTTTACATCCTAATGATTGAATGATGCGGAAATTTTAAAACATTCCCCTTTAAATGAGCCCAATTCTGAAGCCTCGGTCAGCTCTAATGACACTAAAGAAATGAAATATACCCCAATTAAATATTATAACATAGTGGACAATAAAGCGGATTCATTTGATTATTCAAAGGTTTTCAACTGACCATTAACAACTGAAACAAGCAATCTGTTACAAAAGAGTATTCAAGTAAGTTCAATTCAAGTAAGAGTATTCAATCTAGTAAATTGCCCAAGCTGGCCTGGACAAAACTGACCATTGGTACAGCAGTATATCATAGTATCCCCATTATTATATAGCAGAAAGGCTTTGTAACATGTGCGTGTGCTCTAAATAAATTACCACACCTATCACTTTTGTGCAGAGCACCATTGGCAGGGTTAAACACCAACAAGCCACACTGGACTGTTGATTTTTTTATGGCTGATCTGGACTTTGGTTTCTTCTCTAAGATCATTTTCAGATGGAAACATAGCTTAATCCCTTTCCACCTTCAGCAGGGGTGTTACAACAAAAGCTTGTTCGCTGCTGAAGCCCAGAATACACTCCTGCACTCCACTTTGAGGACTATGTGAGTAGCTGCATACCAACAACTAGATACACAATCTGATGGTCCTTTGTCAAAGATTTTCATTGACTGTTATTGAGAGCAGAGTCACCGGCACAAAAAAAGTGAAAGCAAGCAGCCAGGGCAACCATGATGTTGGTTATGTTTGTGTAAAGACTATCTCTGAATGACAGGATTAGGGTGAGTTAAGGAGATTACTGCGAGCAGACCACCCCACCCCAACACACACACACACACACACACACAGAGAGAGAGAGAGAGAGAGAGAGAGAGAGAGAGAGAGAGAGAGATGATAACAATCAAACCATAACTTACTTCTGATTAATTAATTTTTATTTTACTAACAAATACGTAACTGACCACATCACCCCAATAAAAACAGAAGTGCAGAGAGAGAGAGAGAGAGAGAGAGAAAGATAGGGAGAGAAATTGAGGAAAGAGGGAGAAGAGAGGTGAGCAAAGAAAGAGGAAGAAAGAAAAAGAAAAAACAGGGGAGCGAGAAAGAAAGACATTCCAGAGATATTACATCAATATAATCACAACTTGCTTATTTACTTACTTACAGCCAATTTTACCTGACCTAACTGACCACCCTACCCCAATAAATACAGGGAGATAGAGAGAGAGAGATGACAGAGAAATTACATCAATATAATCACTTACTTATTTACTTACTTCTAGCCAGTTTTAAATACAGACTTATACAGACCTAACTGAGAGAGAGAGCGAGAGAGAGAGCGAGAGAGAATGTCTGTAAATTGTATGTAAAATATTCTGCTGTTCTGATATGAGGAGCGATCAGGCCTCTCAGCTCGTTTGTTCTGCTCACACGTCTTTTAACCGTTCTGAATGATGCTGAGGTCAGTGCAGTAACAGCGCTCTCTCTCCCGCCGTCTCTCTGTTTTCTCTCTATGACGCGCACCGTCCTGTAACGGGGATAAATGCAGTCAGTCACCTGTCAACAAAACTCCTAATTTCTCTAAAGCGCTCGCTAAAAGGAGGACATGAGAATGACTAATCGCGATTAGACACGGCTGCGTGACCGGCTGGCCCCGGTCAGCGCGCGATCCCAGAGCCCCCCGAGCCCACCGTGGGAATGACGGTCATTACGCCGCGTAGGTGCGGCACCGCGGGGTCCCTGCCCGCGGAGCGACCGCAGCGCGCATTGGTTATCAACAGCTCTCCGGTGGTGAAGAGACGGAGGGAACTGCAGGACAGAGAGAGAGAGAGAGAGAGCAGCAGCGGGGGGAGCGGAGAAAGTTTCTGTTTGAGGAAAAGAGCGGAAAGTAAAGCAGCTCACAGTGAGTGTGTAAGCGAGTCAGGAGCGAATCAGGAGAAAAGAGTGCTGCTACACATACAGCCTTGATGCAGAACAAGAGTCAGTGATCAGTGATCAATCAGAGAAATCAGAAATAAGTACATAAAAGAGTAAAATAGAGTAAAAAAGAAGTAAAAGGAGAAGTAGAGGGATCAGAGAGAGAGAGACAGAGAGAGAGAGAGAGAGAGAGAGAGAGAGAGAGAGAGAGCTGCATTGCATCGCGCGAGGATCAACAGGTGCGCGCGCTCCGGATCTCCGAGACATTTATCACAGCAGTGGTCAAACACGCGCCGCATAAAAAATCATATAGTTAATAGCTTAAAAGCTAAAAAGTCGCATAATAATAATAATAATAATAATAATGATAATAATAATAATAATAATAATAATAATAATAATAATAACGATAGGTTTACAAATAAAAATAAAATTAAAAATGTAAATAAGCAATACAAAAATAAAATTTCTATATAATACTATAATATTTATATATTAAATGCATATATATAATACATAAAATTAAATGTTTTGTATAAATATGCACAACAATAAATCAGCAATAAAAATCATTTAAAAAAAACGAATATTTGAAATAAGTATTCAAAATAAACAATAAAACAAAACTAAAAAATATCAATTGTAACAGTAGCATATTTGTGTTAAAAAGTCTCGCTAAACCGGCTAATCAGTCCCTCCAAACAGCAGTGGATTAATCTGTACCCTTCCTTTCCCTGTCTCTCTCTCTCTCTCTCTCTCTCTCTCTCTCTGTCCGCGAGCCTTTGAAAACGTCACTCCGTCCGTCCCCATTCACCCCCCCAACCCACCCACCCCGGCAGGTGACGTCATGCGCCAACTTGGAGTAGAAGAAGGCAGGGAAAAAAGCTAAGTGGGCAAAAAGGGAAGTTGGGCCTCTCCTCCTCCTCCTCCTCCTCCTCCTCCTCCTCTCCCTCTTCCTCCTCAAATACTTCTCATGCATATTCCCGAAGGCTTTAATCTGACGGCGCACATCACAAAGTCAGCGAGGCTTCGGAGCTGCCCGCATTTCTCAACTGTTCTACTTCTGCTATTCTTGTTGTTGTTGTTGTTGTTCCTGCCTGCAGTTGCCGGCCCCGCTGGCTTTCTGATGGTTTCCTGCTGATAAGGTGTCCGGGACACTTTTACCGCGCGCAGTGACTTTGGGTGCCCCGGGAGGGGGGCGTCATTCCGTGTGTGGACCGGACTGCGGGGACTGACCGGTCCGCATCAGCCAACATCAGGGCCGCTCAGCGCAAACCTGGACTCCGCTCATCGTGTCCAAACTTGGGTAGCAGCAGCAGTGCTGGACTCTCCCACGCACCGGACAGACCCGCTCGCTCTGACCAGCCCGTTTCACACAGAGCCCGAGTTTATTAAAAATAACCTCTCCTGGCTTTAAAGACTTTCTCCCCTCTCGACACAGCTGGAAGAGAAGCCCAAGATGAGCAAAGCTGCCGGCTCAACAAGTGGCTGTTTGGATATTTTAAACGTCAAATCCAGTAAGTAAAGCGCCGGCGCTGCCTTCACCAGCTCTACAGCTTATTTAATAATACTGAATATACTGTATTTACAGCTCACTAATTTAATCAGAACAGACTGTAAAATCAGGGAGATCATGACAAAAGTGTCGCTTATAGCCCGCAAGTTTAGTGGATGACATTTGCTAAAGGAACATAAATACAAACGTTTAAATTTAAAGGTAAGTAATAATACAGATACAATAATTTTTAAATTAATTATTTTATTTATTTATTGTTGTTAAAATGATTTGGTCTGTGTCTGAGTCATTCTATACATTTTAAACTGGTAAATGGCATTTATGGCTGTTGCCATAACTTGAATTATCTCACCATCCTTAGAAAACGATCTTGTGGACTAATTCTTGATTTATGAGAACAAATGTTATTATCAGCTAGTTTTTATGACTGAGATGCTATTGACAGCAGCCTCGCCTGCTCTGTTTTCTCCTATTAGGAGCGTCATTGTATGACATAATGGTACTTTAGTGTTGTCAAATCCAGCAGTTTTACAGCAGCTTCAGTTTCAGCTCCTATCGTTTTAAAAGTGGAAGTTTTTGAAGTTCGTTGACTAATGCAGTGACAGCTGTATACACTTCAATAAGGTTCTATGTGCTTTACAGGTAAACTTGCAAAACATCAGACCAAGAAAGCACATGCTTTCGTACATTTTGCACATTTATTTGCACCATTGCGCTTTTTAATAACTCAGAACATCCTTTAAAAATCAGACAAGAAACATTTAACTAATCTGATTATATATATATATATATATATATATATATATATATATATATATATATATACATATAGTGTGACTACAATCTCAGAAATAGTTCCAAAACTGAGTACAGGTCATAGTTTTTAAAAAGTTCGTTAGCGCACCTGAGAGTTCACACAGCAGCTTTCAAAAAATTTCGGAGGAGATAACTGTCTAGCAAAAAATTCCATTATTTCAGTTATTTAAATTACTTCAATATTATTTCCTAACAAACATGAGGACTGTAAACGAAATCACGTTTTTCGCCTGTGATCTGGACTAACACCACCTCAGCACTCCGCTGCGGCCTGAGCTCCTCTCCTGCACCTGTTTTTGCCCACTCTGATAAGCATGTACACATTGCGACACTCTTAATACAGTCCCGTCCTTATTAATGATGCCAGTGAACAGCATTCTGCACTTCACCGCCACTGTCGTTTTACAGTGTTTTAAAATGACACTTTGGGTGGTCCTGAGGGTCCCAGCTCTGCCTAAACCGGTGCAGAAGGCTGCAGGCCTGAAGCTGATCACAGTAATGAAATATGCCATATGTCCCATGAGCAATTAGAGCGCGAGGTGCTGCGGGATGGGACACCCACGGAGGAAAAGGTAACGAGAGAGAGTGGGCTTTAACCCCACCGCTCTCAGCGCGCGAGCTCACACTCCTGTTGATATGGACTGAAACGTAAGGAGCGCAGCAAGCACTGAGGAGAGGAACCTCCAGGTTTAGGTGTTCATGTAGGAGTAATTATTATTATTATTGTTATAACTTATTATTTATTTATTTATTTATTTATGTGGGCGTAGTCAGATAACTTTAAAATTTCGTTGGTCATAGTGCAAATAAATTCTTTACACTAAAATGTATCCTTTTTTTAGGATTTGGAAAATAAGTCTATAATAAATATATTATTATAATAAAAAAATAATAATCGTAAGGAACATTAATCCAACAGCTACAGTATCATTAAATAATCCATACAAAATTAGCCCAAACATTATTTATTGTAAATTTTGACGTCACAGTTTTTAGCCTTAAGACACAAATTTTGGTCTCAACCTCTCAGCTTTACTGCAACCATTTATTTGCAACAATTCGGATAAAATAACAATAATAATAATATAATAATAATAATAATAACAATAATAATAATAATAATGAGAAGTTTACATCAGATAACAGCATATAACAGGAATAACAGCGTGTAATGTCAGCATTAAGAACGTCACTGAAACGTGTTGCGGGGTCAACTTTTTTCCCACTCGCCAACGAGGAGGAGAAGCGAATACTAACAACCTGCCAAAGTAGTTTTGAATCGAGCTATCATTTGGCTGGAGTTTGACATCAGACCGCCCTGCCGCTGCTCTCATTGTCCCCGCGCTCGGCCCTTACCGAGCCATATCCGAATTCCCATGCTACCGTTTTTGCCGGGTCACTGAGAAATCAATGAGCAGGTGGACATATGTCAGTAATTACACGGCCGCTCCTCCGCACCACTCCCCCATCTACACGCAGATACAGCGCCATTAACGGATTTAGACGCAGAAAGTGGAGAGAAAGCGAGAGGGGGGGGGAAGTTTTGTGCGCACACGCAAGAGAGTTAGAGAGAGAGAGAGAGAGAGAGAGAAAGAGAGAGAGAGAGAGAGGGAAAAAAATCACAATTTTCATTTACTCCGGCCTCATTTGCATACACTTCATTTGAGGCGCTGGTGCGCATTCTGCTCTCCGCCGTGTCACTCCCTAATCCGCGGGGCCATACATGCGGCGAAGAAAGCAGCTGTCGAGCTTCATTATGAGTCGGGGGTGTCTGTATGGAGAGGGGGGAGTGGTGGGGAGAGGAGGTGGGTGGGTTGGGTGGGGGTGGAGGTGGAGAGGGGGGAAGAGACTGGCAGCTTGTCCAGATCGGTCCAGTCAGACGAGGCTCAATGGGGGGAAATCATTAAGTTAACACTTTCCCTAATGTGGCCATTGTGCGCGCGCCCGGCCGACATTGTTTTACCGCCCGCGCGCGCGCATTCCCACAGACACACACCTGTTAAGACTGAGCGCGCGTGCGTGTGTGCATGTGTGTGTGTGTGTGTGTGTGTGTGTGTGTGTGTGTGTGTGTGTGTGTGAGAAAGAGAGAGAGAGAGAGAGAGAGGCCGCAACAGCGACTTTAAAACTCCTGTGAAGTTTACAGTAAGAGGCCAGTCAGTGTGTGGCCTTCAGGTGCTGGACATAAGACAGGTCTTACAATAAATCAGAGCTACATAATGACGTCACGATGCTTTCGTTCCACTGGCAGTATATTTATTATCTATCTAGGGTTCAAAAGTTCGGGATCGTTGTTTTCAGTAAATGAAATAGTAGAAAGTAGGAAGAATGACAAACAGGGCATTTTTAATAACTGAGAAAGCTGTAAAACACTGAGAATTAAGTTTTACTAAACTCAGCATCCACATCAAACCTCAGGCAGATAACTTGTCAAGAAAAGACAATAAATAGACAGTATATTGTTTAGCATTTAATCACTTTCTGGCGAAAGTCTTGGTATATCCTCTATTGTCCAGCTCATAGTAGCTCAGCTTAGACTGTTAATTACTGAATAAAATAACAGCAGGCTGACATGAGTGATTCCAAATTTTTCAACAGTAATTTTAATTCCAATTTTAGCTTAGAGCAGTACATTCCTTGTAAACGAATTAATAAAATAGGCCTATGATATATCAGTTCAAATATTTTTTGGTGAGAATCTGAATTAATTACAGCTCATAATGTATCTTTACCTTATAGGGTATTTTACCTATTTTACCTTTTTATCTTATAATGTATCTTTTACACGTGTATGTATTTTATACACTCATTCCAGCCATACATCACTGAATGTGTATGTGTTGTAAGAATAGCTGTAAGAATTAACCCGTCTTTCTTTTGAAGGTCGGATTCTGGACATCCCGTGTAAAGTGTGTGGAGACCGCAGCTCAGGGAAGCATTACGGGGTGTACGCGTGCGACGGCTGCTCCGGCTTCTTCAAGAGGAGCATCAGGAGAAACCGGACGTACGTCTGCAAGTCTGGCACTCAGGTGAGCGCGTCCTCTCTCTCTCTAACTTTCCCTCTAAAGCAGTTTGCTCCGGTCGGTTGCTGCTGCTGCTGCGGGCTCGGTGCGCCTGCACGAGCGCCCGGCCCTCTCAGGGCTTCCATTACAGCTCCGCCGCGCTGCCTAATTGAAAGATTATGGTGGGAGTGAGCCTCCTCCCGCGCCTTTGAGGGCCCTTTGGCCCGTCTAGTGGAACAGGTGTAATCCAATCTAACGCACCGGCATGACTGCGTGGATTTGGAGAGGGAGGCGGGGATGAGACTATTGGCCGAGCGGCAGGGGAGCGAGTCAATGGCCGTCATTACTGCGCCGTGTACCTGCCGAATGTCCTCTCTCTCTCTCTCTCTCTCTCTCTCTCTCTCTGTCTGTCTCTCATCCGAATGGAAAATATCTGTGATGGTTCTTGAGTGGTCCAATAGTAAAGTCAAAAGAATGTACAGGAATCTGTTACATATGGTTTTGTATAGAACCTTGGAATGGTTCTCTTAGACAAAAAAAGTGTTCTGTCGTTACAAGCTTGACACTGTATTCAGTAGAAGAACCCTTTTAGGTGTTATATAGAACCATCTTCAAAAAGGTTCTGTATAGAGCCATAAACACATTCTCCATCAATCTGAAGAACCTTTTCACCAGGGAAAGAACCATTTAAGCATGAAATGGCTCTATAAAAACTCCTGATTCTAAATAAACCCATTGCCTTTACTAAACGACCGACAGGACTTGAAATCAGAAGGGAATTATACTTACAGTCTTATAATCTCTCTCTCTCTCTCTCTCTCTCTCTTCTCTCTCTCTCTCCTCTCTCTCCTCTCTCTCTCTCTCTCCCTCTCTCTCTCTCTCTCTCCCCCTCTCTCTCTCTCTCACACACACACTCAGGGCGGCTGTCCGGTGGATAAAACTCACAGGAATCAGTGTCGCGCCTGTCGCTTGAAGAAGTGTTTGGAAGTGAATATGAATAAAGACGGTGAGAGCGAGTCTGTGTTTTTCTTCCTTTGAACGAATCTGTTAGTTTCACTCTTGAATGCACCGATATAAACCGTGCAGGTGTTACTTTAACAGCTGGAATGTTATCTTAAATTTGCAATTCTCTTTTCTGAACAGTTCATACAGGATCCAAATATCTCCACTAAAACATCCCGAATTTCGTTCGAAAAGTTTTTAAAAAGTTACTTCATACTTCTCTAATCGACTGAAAGCCAGCATGAGTCAATACGTGGTGCATTAAAAAGCTGCTTTAAATTCACGACTCAAATGCGTTCAGTGGTTGCAAAAAAAAAAAAAACACATGAATTGCGTGAACAAAATTAATGGCAAAAACAAGCAATCTTAAAAAAAGCAACTGTGTTGATGTAAACTATTTCATTTGTCTGCAACCACGTGACACATTTGACCCGTTATTTTCAGTGTATGTCTAACATTTTGCTTAATCCCAGATTAAATTTACCCTAAAAATATTATTGGATCATTGTAAATAAAATAAATATCACAATATTTTTTTTTCTTCTTTTTAAAATTTTTCCAAATTTAAAAAAGTTAAAAAGCTGACAAAAAATTCTCAACTTTTTTTCTCGAATGATAGGTCAGAAAACTCTTTGTTGAACTGAATAAAAAGTTTAGTTACATTGCTCTGAGCTGATGGGTAGACAGTGAGGTCAAAGGCAGTGTTTTGTGGTGCAGTCAGACCTTTGAAAGGTATAGTGTGGACTCTACATTTGAAATCACGCTTCTGGAGATGGACACACATGCAGTGTTTAACTTGAACCCGCTCTCGCGCTCCTCCTCCTCCAGCCGTGCAGCACGAGCGGGGTCCGAGGACGTCCACCATCCGGAAACAGGTGGCGCTCTACTTCCGAGGCCACAAGGACGTGAACGGCTCGGCCGCCCCGTTTCCCGCCGCCTCTATCCCCGGACCGCCCTTCTTCACCACCGTCAGCCAGCTGGACACGCACAGCCTCGAGCTCAACACGGTGGCCAGCACGCCCGAGCGCCAGCAGACCATGGTGGGACTCGCTCAGCCCACCCCAAAAGTGAGTGAAAGCATGTAGGCTTAGAAGAGCTGTGACTTGTTTTACCCTCAATTTTATAATGATATTATCAGTACATGTTACTGATGCATATTAAAGGGAGGGTGGATTTATTACGGAGCATTAAGAGACCTTCGAAATAAACAAGTACATATTATTTCACCTGCTGAATGTCGTATCTTTCAAATGTCTCATTGTTGAGTTCAGGAAGACTAAGACTGCTGTATTGTGATTAATTCCAAATTTCCTTTCTTTTTTTTTCATAAAATCTTTACATTTTAAAATTGAATTATTTGACTATAAAAATTACGTGGACTTTTGCCTCGAAAAAATGAAGTTACTTAACACGTTCAAGCATAAGTAACTTTATACTTGAGTTAAAGTTACTTTCTATTTTTCAGTGATCCACACTTCCTCAACAAGTACAGTTAACTTTAACAGCCCAGTCGTTTTAATAGTTTGTACTGAGCTGACAGTAGTGAACTTTCTCGAGTTCAGTTTCCTCTCAGTGCATTAGGTAAACTTTAATCAGCCCAGCTGGGTTTACCTCTCATTTAATTGTGCTTTGCTGCAAATTTTCATCTGGGTGCAGTGCATTGGTATCAACTGTGAAACAACACCTTTATTTTAAATGGATTGTTTCATATAGTGATGACTTCTTACACAATGTCTGCATAATTTCTTTACACAGTGATGAAAGAATGGACAAGACAGGGGTCACTCAGTTCTGACAACTCAAATGGTCTTATGCAGTTTTGCCCTTCTGGGGCTTGTATTGATAGCAGTCCTGGCTGTAGGGTGAACTGGGAAGCCTGTAAATGCATCCAAACCTATTATTTTAGCATGTATGCTGTGACACAAAAACAACATTATGCAAACAGGAGTAATGAAAAATTAGAAACTGCTAAAAATGCTGGGAAGCTTTTCAGTCTGTAGAACGTATCCAAATTAACTAACCTTAACTAGATTTATTTAGGTAACTAAAGCTTTATACACGAAATAGTATGTGTCACTAAGTATAATAGATAAGTAAACCTAAAAAAGTTAGTACAATAGTTATGTTTAACAGCGTGTATTACAAATAAATATACAGCACTTTAGAATGAAACTCTTGCTCTGTGGATCTGGTGAGCCTATTGTGTTGAACTGGGTTATAATTATGCATTAAAAGTCTGAACAAATCACATCTGAGACACGCATGTTGGAGTCTTTGAACTGACTAACAAATCTTTTATTTCTTCACTTCTTCCTTTTGTAATTAAACGAGCCTATATGCAGTCTAAATAACTTAGAAAAAAACTATAATAAACTAGTTCATAAACATTATCTGTAATGAGCATAAACGGGTTTCCTAAAGTGGCCTCTATCATCTGACGGCCCATCGTATCTGACCCCTTGGCCCTTTTCCCTCTCTTCCCTCAGTATCCACACGAAGTGAGCGGCGCTCCTCTGTATTTGTATGAAGTGGCCACGGAGTCGGTGTGTGAGTCAGCGGCGCGTCTGCTCTTCATGAGCATCAAATGGGCCAAGAGCGTCCCCGCCTTCTCCACCCTGCCCTTACCTGACCAGGTAGGCCACTCAGAGCACGATCTCGACTGTGTGACTAGACTGTCGTTTCCTCTCCCAGTGCTCAAAATCAGTGCTGTGTTTAAAAGACCCAAATCATGGAAAAAAAAACTTTATTCAGTTTTTGAAATAAACGGGATTGTTGTTTTGTGTGAGCACTTAAAGATTCGAATCCATACAGTCCACATTTGGAAATCAAGCTGCACAGACAGCCCTAGTGTTCTGGTGTTCCTGATTTCAATGGGTTTTTCAGCAGGGATTTACATGTATTAACCTATCCTACAGCACTTTAGCCCCGCCCATTCACGCTGAAGTTAAGGCTAGCCAATTAGAATAGAGGTCGCGAACCTATACAATCCTGTGCAAAAGTTTTCGCCCCCTGGTGAAATGACCTGTTTTGATGATTTTCTAAAAATAAGTACATTTTAATGCACTATTACTGTTTATGACCTGAATTTAACATATTGGAAAAATATATATAAAATGTGGCCTGTGCAAAAGTTATGGCACACTTTAATTTTCATGTTTGTTTTTCAATGCAAGCAGAACAGGAGCTGTGTGCTAAATTGTGCAGAAAATGCCATATTTAAGTTTTTCTTCCTATATAGAATGTATTAACTTCTTATTATCTTCACTTAGAAAACCAACAAAACATGTCATTTGATTGCACAAATGTCATAGACTGACCTCAGAAGAAAAAATAAAACGAAAAAGAAAAAAAAACAGGATATTGGTCTTTTATCACAGTTTGTTTTTGGTAAAAGTGGCTGAACTGATGTTGTGTAAAGAGAAGCCAGTGAATGTAGGTTTGGGGGGGATCAATCCCAGTGCTAATGAGGGCTGTAATCCGTTTTTGCAGCTGATCCTATTAGAGGAGGCCTGGAGGGAACTGTTCGTACTGGGCATAGCACAGTGGGCCATTCCTGTGGACTCCAACACTCTGCTGGCTGTTTCAGGTATGGAAAGTAACCTACTGCTCAGTGCTCTACACACACTTAAAATGATGGTTCTTCAACGGTTCTTTAGTAAAGGCAATGGTTCTATTTAGAACCACGTGTTATACATAGAACCATTTCAGGCTTAAAGCGTTCTTTGCATGGTGAAATACTTCTTCAGATTGATGGAGAATGTGTTGTATATGGTTCTATGTAGAACCTTTTCTGAAAAACTCTTCTACTGTTACAAGCTTGACATCGCTACCAAAGCAGAATCCTTTTTGGTGCTATGCGGAACCAAATACAACACATTCTGCATTAATCCGAAGAACCATTTCACCATGCAAAGAACCATCTAAGCATGAAATGGCTCCACAGGAAACTCATGGTTCTAAATAGAATCTGGGTCCTATCATTCTTTATAGAACCGTGAACACTCGAAGGACCATTTGCATGCTTAAATGGTTCTTTGTGTGCTAAAAACGTTTTTCAGATTGTTGGAGAATGTGTTGTATATGGTTCTATGTAGAACCTTTCTTTTAAAAAAAAAGCACTCTTAAAAAGACAGTCCTTTAGAAAAGACAATGGTTTTATATAGAACCATGAACACTCAAAGAACCATTTGCATGCTTAAATAGTCATTAGCATGGTGAATTGCTCCTCAGACCGATGGAAAATGTGTTGTATATGGTTATGTGTAGAACCTTTTTGGAAAAGTTCTTCAATTGTTACAAGTGTGACATCTTTACAATAGCAGAACCCTTTTTGGTGCCATGCAGAACTAAATACATCATTTTCTCCATAAATCTGAAGAATCATTTCACCATGCAAAGAACCATCCAAGCATTAAATGGTTCAACAGAGAACTAATGGTTCTAAATAGAACCACTGCTAAAGAACATTTGAAGAACCATATTTTTAAGTGCGTGGCATAGCGAGGATAGATTATAAAGCTTGCGCAGTAAATAACACCCCTGTCTCGCCTTGTTGCGTGTGAAGTGATGCTGGTACGGTTCCTCTCCGTTCTCCTCACTGCTCCTGTTCGCTTGTGTAGGGATGACGGCGGATAACACAGAGTCTCAGAGGCTCAACAAGCTGATGGCGGAGATCCAGGCGCTTCAGGAGGTGGTGACGCGTTTCCGGCAGCTGCGGCTGGACGCCACAGAGTTCGCCTGCCTCAAGTGTATAGTCACCTTTAAAGCAAGTGAGGCTACTGAGTGCACACCAACACCACCAACAAGTGAAACAGCACCCACAGCTCTGATCAAATCTGAAAGCACTTAATTAATATGCTGCCCCCTGTTGTGTTTCTTGTGCAGTCCCAACGCACAGTGGCTCAGAGTTGAGAAGTTTCCGAAATGCCAGCGCCATCGCAGCCCTGCAGGACGAAGCCCAGCTCACCCTGAACAGCTACATCCACACCAGGTACCACAAGCAGCAGCCTCAACACTCCTACTGCACATCAGCATCCTCAGTGTAGCTCTTAGTTTCATTCACTCTTACAGTGTTTTTTCAGTGCTGAATTCATTCAAACAATTATTAATTCACTCTTTTTTATTTATTTAACCGTCATTTAACCAGGATGTCCCTTGAGATTATAATCTCTTTTCCGAGGGAAACCTAGCCAAGAGTTTCTAATTCAGTCTTCCAGTGTTTAATTCACTTTAATAGTGTTGAATTCACTCTTACAGTTTTGAATTGACTCTTAAAGCTTTGAATTCACTCTTACAGTTTTGAATTCACTTTTACAGTGATTAATTCACCTTTACAGTTTTGAAATTCACTCTTACACTGATTATTTTATTCTTCCTGTTTTGAATTCACTTTAACAGTGATTAATTCACTCTTAAAGCTTTGAATTCACTTTTACAGTGATTAATTCACTCTTAAAGCTTTGAATTCATCTGTTCTTCCAGTTTTGAATTCATTCTTACAGTGAATAATTCACCTTTACAGTTTTGAATTCACTTTTACAGTGATTAATTCATCCTTACAGTTTTGAATTTACTCTAGTGAATTATTCACCTTTACAGTTTTGAATTCACTTTTACAGTGATTAATTCAGTTTTGAATTCACTCTTGCAGCGTGGAATTCTCTCTTACAGTGTTGTAATCAATTTTCAGTGTTAAATTCATTCTTACAGTGCCAAATTCAGTCTTGCAGTTTTGAGCTCACTAGACTCCAGTGTTAATTTGTGTCCACAAACACTGTATGCGTTTAGTTAACACTAGAGATTTTGTCATGTGCAGTCAACATAACAATGAACCAGCAAATATCATCACATAACCTGTACTGACTGGCCAAGTCTGTACAGACTGATCGTTGTCAAGAGATTGGTGGATTTCATGGGCCATCACGTCATATGGAACAGAGCTTTATATGACCGTACTGCCACATATGGAACACACATGATCTGAACAAAGTAATTCTTTAATACAAACCTTTTGTAATGAGCCCAATTTACATTTCATTTTGCCCAAATGAAAGATTGCTATAAGTTAAAATTGGACCAAACAAAGGTTTCTTGATGTGTTAAAGAGTTCCTACACACTTCAAAAAGATGGTTCTTCAAGGGTGTTTCAGTAAAGACAATGGTTCTACATGGAACCATGAAAACTCAAAGAATCATTTGCATGCTTAAATGGTCCTTTGCATTGTGAAATAGTTCTTCATATTGATCGAGAATTTGTTTTTAATCATTTTCTATATAGAACCTTTTTGAAAATGCACTCTTAAAAATATGGTGCTTTAGTAAAGGCAATGGTTCTATATAGACCCATTAATACTCAAAGAACCATCTGCATGCTTAAATGGTTTATTGCATTGTGAAAACGTTCTTCAGATTGATGGAGAATGTGTTGTACATGGTTCTAAAGAACCTTTTTGAAAAGGCACTTTTAAAAAGATGGTTCTTTAAAAAAGACAATGGTTCTGTATAGAACCATGAATGCTCAAAGAACCATTTGCTTCAGGTTGATAGAGAATGTGTGGTATATGGTCCTATATAGAACCTTTTTGAAAATGTTTCTATATAGCACCAAAAAGGGTTCTTCTATCTTAACATATTTACAGTATAACCATATACAACACATTCTCCATTAATCTGGAGAACCACCTCACCATGCAACAAACAATTTAAGCGTGCAAATGTTTTTTCGAGTGTTTATGGTTCTATGTAGAACAATTGTCTTTTCTAAAGAACCATCTTTTTAAGAGTGCATTACCAAAAAGATTATGTGAAGAACCACATGCAAAACATTTTTCATCAATTTGAAAAACCATTTCACCATGCAAAGAACCATCCAAACACGAAATGGTTCTGTGCAGAGCTCACTAAAGAACCTTTAGAGTGTTATCTAATGATCCAGAAATACTTAATTAAGTCACGTGTCGAAAGTGCGAAGTGAAACGTGTGGATAGAGGGGAAAACAGACTGCAGACGTCACTGGCCGCGTGCCTGTCTGACTGGGGCTGTTGTATTTCAGGTACCCCACTCAGCCGTGCCGCTTTGGGAAGCTGCTGCTGCTCCTGCCCGCGCTGCGCTCCGTCAGTCCGTCCACCATCGAAGAAGTCTTCTTCAAAAAGACAATCGGCAACGTCCCCATCACGCGGCTCCTCTCCGACATGTACAAATCCAGCGACATATGAAACCTGAGCGCGGAGAACCAACCAGAACTTCACAAAGCTGGCCTGGGACAGCGAGAGACCGCCTTAAGCCCAGTCCCAAAAACTCAATCTCCTGCTACGATTATCGTCATGTAACGAGGGTGAGCGTCCACGATGCTTCTGGAAAACACCTCGACGCCTCTTACAAGTGATCTCGCGATGTTCTTAACAGCACAGAGTCCAGATGGGAGACTATGTGGACTGTCCAGAACTAAAGACTAGGAGGGGCTAGACAAGTTGACTGATCTAAACGATACATTTCTAACTCGTCTCCATCTAATCTACAATATTTAAGTCTAGAACTTGCTTTTCCTCCAACGGCAGTTTGGGACAAAACAGAGGCATCTTTGTAGTCATTCTTGGCTGGACTGATAGTTGCGTACAATCACGGAACCATTGCTCAGTGACAGAACCTTTTAAAGACTCTAAGACCAATGAGCTTTTCCAACCAATGTTTTCTCCATTTCAACTTTGTTTATTTCATTTGCAACGTTCTGTCTGTGAGAGCTATGGCGGAAACCAAAAAAACAGAGAGAGAGAAAGAGAGGTGGGGGGGGGTGGCTTGGGGGAGAGGGAGGTAGAGAGAGAGAGAGAGAAGAGAGAGAGACAGAGAGAGAGAGAGAGCAGGGGGGTCTTAGGGGAGAGAGAGAGAGAGAGAGAGCAGGGGGGTCTTAGGGGAAAGAGAGAGAGAGAGAGAGAGAGCAGGGGGGTCTTAGGGGAGAGAGAGAGCCGTAAGGTCGAGCCGTGAATGGTCGCTGTCCATTCGACATGGTGCTGAAAACCAAAGGGGCGAAACGTGAACCGTAAACTCTGACCTTGTCCCGGCTTGGCTCGCGGTAACGGCTCGTTAACAGAGAGGTGTACCACACACTCAGAAAAGCTGGTTCTTCAAGAGTTCTTCATAAAGGCAATGGTTCTTTTTAGAACCATGAGTTCTATCTAGAACCATTTGTATCATTAATACTATACTTGTTCTTTGCATGGTGAAGTGGTTCTTCAGGTTGATGGGAATGTGTTGTATATGGTTTTATATAGAACCTTTCTGAAAAAGGTTCTATATAGCACCAAAAAGGGCTCTGCTATTGTTTCGATGTCAAGCCTATAACAATAGCAGAACCCTTTTTGGTGCTATATAGAACCATATCCAACAGATTCTCCACCAATCAGAAGAGCCTTTTCACCATGCAGAGGACCATTTAAGCATGACACGGTTCTAGATAGAACTCATGGTTCTAAATAGAACCAGTGCCTTTATTAAAGAACCCTTGAAGAACCATCTTTTTTTAGGTGTGCAGCTGGATGCAACAGCTGCTTCTGCTGAAAGAAAAGAAACAATAAATAAATAAACAAATACTTAAATAAATAAAAAACTGCCTATTTTGTGGTCGATGTCAGACCCTACATGCCAACGCAACATTCAGAGGTTACATCCAGAGTAGTTACTAACTCATGTTCACAGACATGTTCAGCACTTGTAAGGGTTTTTTTAGTCTGTAAATATATTTCTTGTTGTAAAAAGTAATAATTTTTGGTGAAAGTTGTCTAAATATTAGAATAAATATTGAGTATTGATCTTCGGGTCCTCTTTTCCTGCTCATCTTGTCCTAAATCTTTCAACCATTTAGAATTCGATTTCTCTTTTTTTGTCATTGGGTTGTTTTGGAGGCCCACTGTACTCGATTCCGCTGCAAAGAGAAAGCTCCACTCCCCCCCGCCCCACCACCACCCCCCAAAGCTCCCTCTAAACGAGGACGTAGAGAGGTTCATGTCTGGCCTGGAGTGCATATTGAACCATCGCTGATACAATGCACCCCGGACCTTGAGTTAAGTTGCTGTGCCTCGCGCGGCCCCCGGAGGTTTCAAGCACTCTTTGATAAATCAAGGGCTTTGCCCAAATTGCATTTTTTAATCTTCATTTTTTTAATAGAGAGCAGACACAATGGAAAGAATCATGATTGCAGATGACAACGTTCAATCCAATTTAGCTTATTCCTTTAACGCGGGGCTGCACTGGCATGGAATGAGCTGCAAGGTTGCCAGAAGCAAACGGATGTGCCCTTTCGCATCTCTCTCTCCTCCATGTAAAGCCAGTTTGCAAATGTCCTCCAACATATCTCAATCCTATCCTCTTAAAAATCAAAGTGCCTAAAAGTGTTCTTTAGAGTGATGCCACAGAATAACCACTTTTGGTTCCCTACAGAACTTTTAACCTTTTTAAAGTTTAGTGAACTTCCGCACAATATACATACTATGCCAGTGAAAGTCAATGTCCCCTAAAACCACATATCTAGACCAAGAACCATCTAGGAACCTTTATTGTTTAAAAGTGTAGCATATTCTATTTGCAATTGAGCTCAACATGCAGAAATATCAGTTTTTCATCATTTACCAATTTACAATGGGCTCCAGGTGTATTCAGGCACAGCAGGCAATTGCTTTGTAGATATTTACTTTACACATGAAACATTTTTCAAAAAAAATGACAGTTTGATCTCAAACTGAAGAGCTAGCTACAGCCCAGTCCATGAGCATTTGGACAACAGAACAATGTACTCAAATTGGATCTGAAATAAAACAGGACTGTGAGGTTAAGATGAATGTCAGAATGTCAGCTTCTGATTTGCCTTCCATCTCATTTTCAGTAACTGAAATGCTGATCAGGTCAGGTTTCTGGTTTGGCCCGTCAAGAACATTGGGCCTCATTCACCAACCATTCGTAAGAAGAAATTTCTTTTTAAAACTCGCTCACGCCGTTTTTTCGATGATTCTGAAATTCACCAGTGTTTTCTTATTTGGCTTTTTTTATAGATAGGAACAGAATCTACGCACACTCAAGAGCACAAATTCTGCGGTTTAAGAACACGTCATGAATCTGATGTAGACTTTTTCTTAGGACCTTTCTTAACAACAAATTTAAGAAAAAAAACTTGGTGACCTATTCCACTTCTTGGCCCTGAAAAACTTCATAACACCACTTACATCAATAAATACAAATGACCAGGTTCCACAAGCTATGACACTACCTCCAACATGTTTCACAGAGAAAATATTATGGTTTTCATAATGAGCCGTTTCTTTTATTTTTCACACTTTCACCAGTCTGGTACATGTTAATCTTCATCATGACTGAAGCCCTCTTCAGTTTTTACACATGTACAGATCATAAGAAAAGAGAGAGATGTAATTGGTTAGTTTTAAATCTGAAATTGAATTAGCAACACAGCCCTCAGCTAGCTCTGAATTTACCCAGCACATAGTCAAAGTGCATATATGTTTTCATTAGGGATGCAAAATGTTATCAGATCCATATTTGTATTGACAGATATTTGCTTAAAAAGTTTATCAACATTGGACAGATGCTTAGGTTCGATCAATAATTGACAACATATTAACTCTGGAAAAGCAGAATATTTAGGTGCAGCTGGTCTACTGAGCACATCTATATTATATTAATTCTATTGCATTTATAACCCCACAAATATAAATGTAATATTTCTCTGTAATGCTACTCTAGTTAGATGTATTGCCAATATCGTTTAGCGGGCCTAATGCTCATGTGCATGATGTATCATATAACGAATATCAGCCCAAAATTCCCATGCATCTCTAACAGGTGCAAAAGTACTAAATCCCTACTCGTTGCAAGGATTACTGATTGTTAAATAACAATTTAACACAATTTGTGTGTATGACTGAAAATAACAATAACAGAACAGCCTTTTATCACCGTCTGTGTGTGACCAGTTTTATTGGAAAATCTTCAGAAACAAACAAATAATGGCACAGCAGTATACAAATCTGAAAACATGCGCCGACCACAGCCTTCTGCGTTCATGTGCTTCAATCAGAAGGAAGGAAGGAAAAAAAAAGAAAAAACAAAACACAATCATACTGAGGCTCGGCAAGTGCTGGCTGTTACATACACACGTCGCATATTCAAACGCTTCACAACAAAAATGCGTCACTGAAGTGAGTTCTGCCCTGTGAGAGAAGGACTAGTTGCGGTTTGTGTTCTTCAGAGTTAAGAGCAGTGCAAGTGTGTGTATCAGGAAAAAAAACAAATGTAATCACCTGCGTTAAAGTAACTCCTACAGAGTTAAATCTACTCTTAGAGTTATTTCAGTTAAAGCAAACTCAGTAGGATTTAATCTAACACCAGTAAATATTGTTTGTATAAATGCATATATATATATTTTTTGGTTCAATTTCGTTTCATGTTTTTTGTGAAGATACATATCCTGAGCTACATAAAAATCTGTTAGTGGTGCTTGCAGACACAAAACTATCATAAATAACCACAATTGTTACACATAAAGATGCCATTCATGATGTCTTTGATCTGATTCTGAGTGAGCGACAGTATTTTACTTGATCAGCAATCAGAGCACGAAAAGAGAACAGTGATTTGCTGGAGCAGTGAGCACTGATCACATAAAAGGACGTTGGGAATTCACTGTATAGTAAGTCTGATGGTGAGATGTTTCAAGGTTTGTTTTTTCTGTTGTAAGTTTCAGCATCAAAGACATTTCTTGCTCAGGACAGTATGCAGTATGTTGAGTGAACGATTTAGATGGGCTGTTTTTCCTTCCAGGGGAAGAGTTCTGGGTGATTGAGCCTTATTCCAAATGTGTGGCGAGTTCTAGTGTAGGCAGTTCAGGCTTGTCTCACTTTGGAGGGGGTGTAGTTTTTATCCACTGATTCATCCTGAAGAAACATGTGCAGGCAACGCTCATTCTGAGCCAGTGGATGGCCAGCCACTCTGAGAATACATTCAAATAAAATAAAAAAAAGATTAGTCACAATGGCACATAGGCATAGCTCTGGAAGATACTGTTAAAATTCAATATCAGGACACTTTCCAGTCTGTCAGAGTGTCTAATGATATTCAGGTTTGCATTACTAAAGTCTATGATCCAATGGTTCCCCAGTACTGATACTCTTATGCTAAAAGACTGTCTTAAAAACCTGATATAGCATATTTTGGTTGGAACATGCCTCTTCAAAGTAAAGAGAACCTTATACAGCAAGGGTGAGTAATAAAGCAAAAAGACAGTATGACAACAGTTCATGACATTTTCACGATGCATGATTTTCAGTTTTTCGGAGATTTGTGAACAACAAACAGGCAAAAAATAAAGAACAAGAAGTAATTTTGGAGCATTTCTATTGGTCCGTTCATGAAACTTTTTAATCAGAAAAAGAGATTTGTTGTCAAATGTTACATTGTTTTCTTCTTCTTCAATTAACTTGCATTGAAAGTTTCAGAACGTTTTTGCCTTCTTCTGTAAGGTAAACCACAGTTTTCTTTTGGACAGTGACGATATGTTTAGAAAAACAATATACTGCACACCCTGGACATGGTAAAAGTGCACAAAACAGAATTAAAAAAACTAAAACACACTGTAGGCAACAAGGACACTGCTATTTTATGGAATAGGATGTTAAACATGAATATAAGGCTCATCAATACTGCTAACATACAAAATCAATATTAATGTGTGACACCAATACCAGTATATCCTTAGAGTCAATACACACCATCCAACACTACACGAGCATCTACCACAAACAAAAGTACAGAGAGCCTGAGGGATGGAATGAGTGGGCAAGCCTTTTCGATGCCGCCTGGTTTTAAACCCAGCTGATGTAAATACAACCCAAATGCAAGGCTGCAAATCTCAATAAATCAAAATATTATTATTTTGAATATTCTCAAATATTCTATAAGAATATGAAAAGCTCATTTTACAACAATATTATTATTGTTGCTTCTATTATTACTGTTGACAATAAGAAAAAATATTGCTATTAATATTTTAAAATTATATATATATATATATATATATATATATATATATATATATATATATATATATATATATATGTGTGTGTGTGTATTGGCATTTTAATGCATCAAGATGCATTAAAATGCCAATACACACACACACACACTTTTTTTTAATTGTATACTTAGACAACTGTATTTTATTTAGAATTTAGCAATTTATTTAGAAAATCATATTTTTAATAATATGTAGCAGAAATATTAAAAGGTAATGAAAAAACATTTATCAATTATTATTTTCACATCAAGATGCATTAAAATGCCAAATCGTGGATCCTGTCCAATCTGG